TTACGATTTTGCCAAAGAACATAAATGTCTATATATAGTTTTATAAAACATTTAAAATATAAATTTCAGATTATTGAGTTCATATTTATAAATAATGTATTAAAAAAGTAAATTTCAGATTACTGAGTTCATATAAATATTGACAACAAAATCATAATGAAAAGCATTTTTGTTACATCATAAAATCAATAGTAAATTCACTAAAAAGCAAAGTTCAAACATCCCATAAGTAAATTCATGTCAGATACAAAGAAAGAAAGAAAGACATTAATAAAAAAGTAAATAATTCAACATATTGAAATCTCAAATACATGGACCGATCAGTTTCTAGGCTTCACGGAAGATGGACTTGCCTCATCATTATTACAACCCAAATCAATGACATTTGTAGGTTTATTCTGGGTATTCCAAAACCTGCAAATAAATCAATTATTGTAAGCAAACATAGCAAACCAAATATTTGATTATATGTAAAATAAGGTGCATATAATAGTTTACCTTCTAACAAAAGTTTTGACTCGTGGACAATCAGGATGAAACTCGATTCTAGAAATTCCTCCTCTAGACCGAATATAGTATCCAGCTATGAAAATAATATAAATGTTATTTCATAGATATCACAATAAAGATATCAATAATAAAGCAATATTAATAATGTAATTTCAACTAACCTTCTCTTTGTTTAACAGACCAGTCGGTTAACATAACAACAAATGGTAACTGACTTTCACTGAAGATCTTGTCATTGAAATCAATTGCATGTGGTCCTAATGCAACACACGATAACAATAGCCCTCTACATATCGATTACAACAACATATTATTTAACAAAAAAAATGTTTATTGACTCATTAACAAATACATCAACCAAAAAAACATTGGAAACTTACTTATGATCCTTGATAGTGAAAGATATACTGGCAGTCTTCTTATCCTGTCTTTCAGGGTATGAATCATCATTCACCGTATCTAGTGGATCAATATTGATAACAAACCCGAGAATATCTGAAGAAGAAAATCAAATTACAATTTATATGCTATGTAGTCAGTTTCTCAATTAAGATAAATAGTAATGAAATATAAGATTTATAATAATAGGCATAACTATACTGATAGGAAGACCAGGCTCTGTTTTGCCACCAAGCACATCAGAAAAAGAAACAAAACCCTGTGCAGTATCAAATTCGATAGGATCTATGTGATCCACTTCAGTGTATTTAAAAACCTGATACAACTACCAATAGGAGAATTTGGTTCATCTGATGTTTCATCAAAGACCACAAATTCTGAAATACTTATCCATTCTCCTTCTTCAATTGTCTTGTCGAAAGATTTGATTAAATCAGAAATATATAGATAAGCTTGAATAGTTTCACCCTGAATATATAAGATAATTTAGAAAATACAAACCAATAACTCAATGTAATATAACAAAAATAGAACAATATAAGATAACAATAAAATAAGTACCTCTTCGTCCATCAACATAAATTGTAACGATGGACGTTCCCTTGGATGTTTTACATGCCATTTCTTCAAAACTTTGCATCTTATAGTCCAGTTTGTCTGGTCAGAATGCAGATCTGTAATGAGGTCATAAGTTTCCATTGAAGGGTATTCTAGAGAGCTTTTGATTTTCAGAAACATAGTAACTGAAGGTTTGAATAAGAAAAGGGTAAGAAATAGGTGGTTTCGGAAATATTAATGCGTTTAGATATTTTATTTAATTTCCATTATTGTATGAAATTTATTTACATTAAATTATGCACATATATAATCAAATATATATTTATCATATCGATAAAGTTACTTACACAGCTAGTGAATATGTATTGAAGACATAAAAGGAAAACAGATTTATGTCATTGTGTTTTCAAATCAACTACTAAAGTCGTAGAGAATATTCGATGGTAATCTGTATACGCAACAATGTGTTATATAAAAAATCTGGAATATATATAACGCAAGAACTAAGGTACTAAATATTTTAATGTCTCAGTAAATTAT